GTCCAACCACCAATCAGATACTAGTAGGCCTAAACAACTCTCACTTGCTACCTGCCTTGATGTCACATATATAAATACAAATCACCATCAGCCACGAGAAGCTCTTTCTGTGTGATGACGATCAGAGACAGTGTGGATGAGTTTCGTGTGTGACCGCTGTGACAAATGTCCCACCAATGTGTGACGGGCCCCTCACCCTCTCCCGTGCACATGTACATAAGCTTAACGTCGTCTGGGCGGGCCGATCCCGCCGGCTCACTGTCGGCACGGCAACCAGCACTATCCTGGCTAACATCTGCCGCACGACCCGGGGCCACTCAGAAAGGGCCCTTAATCCCCACACAGCCATGTTGTGGGGGAAAACATTCTTTCCTTTTAGTGAGAGCAGACAAACAGGGACGAGCGGTGCTGCTGGTAACTTGCAGGCGGCCGGCCTCTTGGAAGGACGGTGGATTTTTTGTTGGTTACGTGCACCCCCCCCCCCCCAATTGTGCGGCGGCCCATTATGCTGCTGTGCAGAGGCGTGTGACCGCCAGCATCGGCAGCAAGTTGCTGTGACTGGTCCAGTTGGATGGATTTGGGTTTTGAGGTTAATGAAAGGTGTTGAGGTTGCTGTGGGTCAGGGGGGTTTGTCAGCCAGCCTTGTTATGCTAAAACAACAGTTGCATTGATCAAAACGTGCACCACCTTCCACCCTGCGGATCCAGGACACTGTTGCTGCCGCATTGTCAGTCATCCTTCAGTGAGTTTTTAAAAAAGTGTGTTTGTTGATGTCTACAGCAGAGGGGATGGAGAGGGAGGAGAGATGCAGAACATGTGGCAGTTTGGTGCCCCCTTGTGGAAGATACTGTAGAAGCACACACACTTCTAAACTTACGCAAAACAATATTTGCATATTAAGAACCTCAGAAACTCTCACCAAGAACTATTAAAGATCACAACAAGACAAGTTAACACATCTTCTCCTGTCTGAAACAAGCCACGCCTTAATCCTTCATCATACCGTCTCTGATAAAGATCTTCTGGGTGGTAACTCAGACACAGCTCTATCAATCAGTCCATCAACTGCTGTGAAATATGTATTTGTCTTAATATGTAGTTTGATTCCATCAAACCCATTTCACGGACCATTTCCCTATGCAAACAGAGAGAGTGGAAGAGTGTGGTTGAGGCTCACTCACAGGAGAAAACACTTCTCGCTGTGTGTATAGTATGAGATTTAATTGAATAGTTCTGCATCAGTGCCAGGAAGTTAGTTGGTGTGTTTGCAGAGGTCTGTGTTCTCTCTGATTAAGGGCTTGGTTGTCTTTTTTCCCCTGAAGCAAGCCAATACTTGGCTCGAAACAAAGTCCTTCTCAGGTTTCAATCACAGACAATCAGCGAGAGAGAAACTCACAGAGGTAGTAGGTACATCAAGGCAGATTGGAAACAGTCGTACGCCTCCAGGCCGCGTCCTAAAAGTGCCAGAGCAGCACAATAACAACAGCTCAAATGGATCTGCAGGCTATTTCTGGAAGCAAGCAATTCAGGATATCTCAGCTCAGAGACGGAACATGTCCTGCGTTGATTGTAAAAAAAAAAAGAATAGGACTGGAAAATATATTTTGTAAGCCATCGAGTTATTAAAAAATGATAGGTTGATTGATTTTGTGCAACTTTGGTGATACAGGAATTAAACAAAGAACCAGCTCACAACATTTAACAATGTAGGAAACATGTCCCACTTAAAGTAGGTATGCAATTCATTTCATCACCGTTTCAGATAGATCACGCTTTTCTTACCACAAGCTGAAAGGACACAAATGAAAACGAAAGCTGCATTAATAAATGAACTTTCAGAGGGACATGTTTTCTGCAGTGAATTCTTTTAACAGCGTGAATGCCATCACGTTCAGATATCGTTTCCTGTTTTCTCCTCAAGCACTTTGTAACATTGGTTTACAAAAAAGCAAAGAAGCATTTTTCACTGCTTGCTTAGGTTGCTACACCACACAAGTGTGAGCAAGCAATCATACATATTTAAACTGTTCCCATATCTGAGGTAAAGGCACTTCAGGTTTTAGGACAATTCGTGGTTTAGCCGTGAAAAACCCAAGCCAACTCCCAGCAAACGGGTGTGAAGTTACTCGCGTGCACACATACCAAATGTCGGAATGATAATTATAACTGGTAATTTGACTCTTCAGTAATACGCCCGGTTCTTAAAGGCAAGACGACTGCTGCAGCAACAAGTGTGTTCGGAGAGTCTTCACCACATATCCCATCAACACCAGTTTCAAAGGCTATGACAAGAGACATCCAAGAATCACCAACCAGCCATACACTGACACCTAGTGGGAAATCACGGTCACTGCACAGATCAGACACGGACAGGACCAGGTCACCTTGGCTCATTTTAAACAGAGCTGCAGTCTGCATGCGGGAAAAAGAGTACAATTAATCTGCTGCTATGATCATTCTAAAGCTTCATCAACTTATCTAAGACAGGAATATGACAACGCTTAGACACAGATATGTCATAAAGTAAACAAGGTGATGGCACAGGGATACAAACGTTGAATATGATGGGAGATAGCAGTGATGATGGTGTAATTGTGTGTTGTGTTTGCGTGTTGTTTATGTATCTAATGTGGATGTACTCGTGTGAATGGCACCTGCTATCTCTCCATGTCTGCCTGTACACTGTGAGAGCTATTTGGTCTAGCACGGCAGATAAGAGGGTGATGTGGAGGCCGGTGGGTGTGCTGGCTATCTGCCTCCCAGGCACCAACGTAACAGGGTCACTCAGGTGCACTCTGCAGGGACAAGTGCAGGAGCAGAATAGGAGGAGATAAAGTAGGAGAGGACAGAAAAGGGTGGAGGTGAGGGAGGTGAAATGATAAGGGGAACAAAAGAGGAGATGGAGTGGACAAAGGACGGTCAGCAGAGGAGACAGACACAGAGAAAGAGACGTGTCGTGAACTTATCGAGAATGTACACCTTTAAGCGTGACAGTAAAGTGTATGTGTGCACATGTATAGGTGTTACTACGTGTATGCAGTTCAGGATTTGTGCACGTGAGCCCACTCCACTCGCTTCTGCGGGGCTCCAATTTGGCCTGGTGGGCGGGACAAAACACCCACAATGCCGATTGTTTTCACAGCACACACACAGAGGATCAGGCCGGCGTGGCACACTGGCACTAGATATTATCATGTGTGCCGCTGCTGTTGTTAGTTTCATTCTGATTTCCTTTTTACAAAGACGAAGCCTGCCCTAATCCCCTCATGTCGACCTGATAGGGAGACTGCCAGAGAGGAAAATAAACATTGGAGACTCACTTGTAAATTACAGTTACAGCAACAACAGAATCTTTCAAATGCGAGTTGATGAAAAGTCAGAACTGTCACAAGTCGTTATAGTAATGCAATGTTTTAATGTTGATTAGTAGAAACAACTACTTCTCAACCCTTTTAATCCATAATTTTGCATGGCAACCTTGATCGTGAAGAAAAGGCACCACGTACAATCAAAACAGGTCATTCATGTTCCTTAGATATCATACCAGCTAGCTAACTGACAGTAATTATCCCCCGTTAATAAAAGAGTTGAACAAAAGACTATACTATCAAAAGTAGGGCAAGGCATATTTGAAGGCCCTCCAATAAATGTAATACAGCCAGAGTATGATCCTCCAGCAGTATGCCATGCAGCCAACAGACAGCTTTGAGCACCTGTTTGTCCAATACTGACACCCCTGACAGACAAGCTGCCACACAGAGGGGTAAATGTGAGCTGAGAGGAACCCTGCCAGGCTGTGGCAGCTGCTTCAAACGTCTCTGAATCAGGCGGCTCTTACACACAGCCTTTTGAGGAAGGAAGGGTCTGTGTCAGTCAGCTCCTGTCACTGGCAGGTGGACACCTTCACATTGGGGCCAGTTTTGGGCTTTGGATGGAGAATAAGTGGTGGCTTGAGATCATTTTGTGTCATCAGGATGAAAGAATGATAGATCGACTGTACATTGATGAATAATAGATCAGTGAATATTTCAAGCAGTAGAAACTTGCCACAAACACTTAATCGGTTTTAACCACATTTAGGTTGCGTCATAACACTGCAGAGAGCCAGCCAAGCTATAGCCCACATGAGACCACAGTCTGACACCAGCTCAGTGTAACACCATCTCCTCTGCTTTTTGTTGGAGTCAGGTAATGAGCCTGTAATGAGGCCATGAAATATTGATCACCAGCCTCACCTAACACTGGGCCTCTATAGGGGTCCTCTCAACTCAAAACAGCATAGTAGAAAGAAACATGTACGCATCTCTTGCTGCTGAAGAACCAAAGAGGAGCAGTAGTGTTCTGATATTGTATCTATATTCGATAAACACTAAGGTACATAGGTAGGCTATATTCTGCCATATAAATCTTCCTACACTTTGTCAGCCTTGTAGTTTGTTTATTAAGAATTATCTTTATATGTTTGCTGGCAACTAATTGTTCTTGTTTTGTTTTCTTGTTATCTGTTATATGTTCTTAAAAAAAAGCACAGTTTCACATCAAAATAAAACTACAACAGTGTAAAATACTCTGTTAAAGTAAACGTCCTGCATGAAATCTTATTAAGTTAAAGGTACTAAATAATTGGCATTAAAATACACTTAAAGTACCAAAAGTAAAAGTTAATTCAGAATCATGTATATTCAATTACTGCATTGTTATTTTTGATGCATTGTGTTCACTGCAACTGGTAAATGTAGAGCTACTTTTAATAACCTTAGAATCTAATATATAATCTGAATCTGTAAAGTAACTAGTAACTAATTTGGTCAAATAAATGTAGGTGTAGAAGTAAAAGGTGTCTTAAATACCCCAAAGTACCCCAAAATCATACAGCACTTGAGTAAATGAACTTCAATACAATACCACTGATAAACAGCATTGACAATAGTGAAGAGGGATGAAGATTGAGACTCAGACTGAGAGAGGAAGAAAGAGATAGTTAGCTATCATTAACTTACCTCAAATACTGCAGTGACGAAGACAGCAAAGTAAAAGAGTGTGTGCTCTCCCCTTGGCTGCTCAGCTTCAGTAGATATCAAACTAATAACACCTAAATCCTGCCTTTCACACATACATCCATGCTTTCACAGCAAACATAAATAGTAAGCCATGTTTGGTTGATAAAGACAACACTTGAAGTAGCTGTTTGCTCTAGTAAGCTAGCATTATCGAAACTTAACCTGCTATTCACTGAGACGTCAACCAGTTATTGTTACGTTTCATATCGATAACTTATGTTGATGCCTCTTTTCGGTCCACATGTTGGTCTTTCTTGCTAACGAGTGGCTAAGCTAAAGTATAAACAAACTGTACTCCTGAGGGAGGTCGAACTGGTCGCTAAGCAACGACAAGCAGTACTTGTAGGGCTATGCTAACCAGCTATCTCATTAGCGACCCTGAAACGCAACTAGTTAGCTCAATAAACAGACATTACATATGAAAGCCTGGTTGTATAGCATAAGTTGTTCAAATATGACCGATAGCGCCCTTTTCTTTTACGGGATAACTTCTTCATTTTTGACAAAGAACTACATTACCTAGTATTCAAAACTACAATTACCCGGATGTAAAATCTGCCGTCAGATGGTTGCAAGTGTCGTGATGCTCTCAGGATTTAAATAGGAGTGACCTGCTGGTTGAGCGATAAGTGGGAGTGAGAGCAGTTCAGCCTTCCGTGTGAACATGGTGAGTACAGCTAGTGAATATATCGGTTTATTAGGTATTTGGTATTGCATGTCTAACGCAGATTAAACCACAGTTATTCCGATTGTAACGATGAGAATTTCACAAACGTGTGCAAAGTTATTCAAAGTTGATCTATTCTTGCATTCTGGCTGACAGCATGACGCAACCTAACCGTTGGAGTTTATTACATTTGATGTATCCTTTTGTCACTTGTGTAGCTACTTTAGTCATTTTCAGGAGATTGAATGACAAAGATGGCGTTGAACTTGAAAAAGTTTGTCCTGCATTTGATATGCAACATAGAGACCTGTATGAAAAGCACAGTCTATTTTTAAAGTGACCCCCCCTGCTTTAGTAAATCCTGTTGACAAGAATAGACACCCAGTCAGGCATCCACGTGCACTGGACAATTAAAGGGTCACTGTCATGCCCCGCTGTGAAATCAATGCTAATATTACTAACAGCACTGTTTTTTGTACCTTTTGCCTTGCAGTCTGAGCCTATTAGAGTTCTGGTGACCGGCGCTGCTGGGCAGATTGCCTATTCCCTGCTGTTCAGCATTGCCAAGGGAGATGTCTTTGGCAAAGATCAGGTAAGGAAGGGCTTTGTCATGCTCTCAATTCCCTTATCTCATTAGGGAGTGTAAGGTTAGTATCACAAGAGATGCACAGAGAGCCCCAGGCAAAACAGCTGTAAATATCACAAATGTTTACAGTTCAAATCTAGGGGTGACATTGAACAGATGTTGCCCCACTGAGAAGTGATCAGATTGCACTCACGAGTTTAAGCGCCCTTTGATGAGCCAGGGTTGACCTTGAAGTCAATGAAATAGATCTTGTACGAGGCTCTTAGGCCAACTTAAAAAGAACTTGATCCATTTGGCGCATGCAATCGTCAGTGATCCAAATGGCTTAAAGCCTCCACACTGTTCCAGAAACAACTAATTCCCCACTGGCCTGTCATTATACATGGGAATTTAGATTTCAAGTACATTAAAAACAAATTCCAGCATGTTTTTATTCATTTCAAACCATTCATCCTACTTCCTTCCCTCTTTCTTCTGTCAGTCAGTCATCTTGCTCCTTTTGGACATTACACCCATGTTGCCAGTCCTGGAGGGTGTCGTCATGGAGCTGCAGGACTGTGCCCTCCCACTTCTGAGAGGTAACAACTAAACACTATTAATAACATCATAATACGTTATTGAAATACTTGAATTACATATCACTGTTCCCCTTAACATCCTGTCATTGGAGCAATTGTAGTTACGAGGAGATTCTGGGGTAAAGATGCGGTGGACAGTTTTTTTGTTTTGATTTTTAAGTTGTCTACACTTTTGAATGAATACAACTTCTGCCTGGTTGTCCCAAGAGAAGGTGATGCATGTTTGCTGTAATGTTTTGATAATTGCCACCAAGGACTCTCTTTGTGTCAAAGGATTCCGGTCTGTTCTTCCCCAAACTCACTCATATGCTGTTTAACATCACTCTTTTAAAGAGTGTTGGTTACTTTACCTCCTATTTCCATCCTATCCTTTTCTTACTAAACTATTTATATGGTAAAGCCTATTAATTGTAACCATATGCTGTCTTCTAAAATAATAAGGTATGCTAAGGCACTGATGATTGTCCGCTTATGATATCCAGTGGTAGCTGAGCATCTGATCACACCGAGGCTATTTGTCCATCCCATCAAGGATTATACATGCATACGTACATTTTAAATGAAATGATTACATATAAACAGTATAGGACGGACAAATGTTTTCATAGTTGCTGAATCCGGAACAAAACATTGAGGTGCAAACGAAATCTCTTTTTGTATGTTACTACACCTCTCAGAATATTATTCACCACTTGCTATGCAGCTCTCCTAACTATTGGAGATGGATACATTTGACTACTATGGAGTTTTTAAATAATTTTTCTCAGAGGACCAAATATTTGTCACTGTAAGGATGCTAATACAGTTCGGACTTATTTCCTTCTCAAAGACACTTGATAACTATAGGCACTGGTTTTTATTGGGACTTTTGGTGTCATCAGTGTAACCGCCATCATGACATCAGTCGTGAGGCGCCATTATGTGCCATCTCCATTGTGACCTGGAATGTTTCCTTTGAATTGGTGCTGTCCTTTGCTTTGTTTGGACATGGGATGTGAGAGGCCCCTGTATTAACCAACTGTGCTGCAAAGACAACGCTTCATGCACTGAGATGGGCCCAGCCGTACAATACTGCTCACACATGGGATACAGACCAAATGTGTGTCATTTAGAAAGGGTGCAAAAGGTTTTGGATGAGAAATGTCCCAGTTATTAATTGTCAGACATGTGGACTGACAAGACTTTGGCTGTTAACTTTGTTTCCTGGTCTAGAAATGGCACTAATATGAGCTACAAATGGGACCAAAAATGTATTTTTGCTTTAGAGATAGTCAATACCTGCTGTGTGTAATTTTCAGCTGGAAAACAAAAATACTGAAGAACAAAAATAAATGTCAGTTTAGAAGAAAGTTGAAACTCCTGGGAGCTGCCTTAGGGAAGCACGCCAAGAAACAGATGTGATTTTCTTTATGCTTACATCTTCAGAAACATTGCAGACATGATCTCAAAACCTTGACAGATAAAGTTAGTAAAATTATTGACAAAACTGTAAAACCTTGTGCTTCAAGTTTTATCGTAAAGTTACTTTTTGTCAAGGAGTAAACAGTGTGAATTAATGATTATAAACCTTCAACCAGTAATGTTTTCCCTTTCTTTCTCCACAGAGATTGTCCCCACTGACAAGGAGGAGGTGGGCTTCAAGGACCTGGACGCCGCCATCTTGGTTGGCTCGATGCCCCGCAGGGAAGGCATGGAGAGGAAGGACCTGCTCAAGGCCAACGTGGCCATCTTCAAGAGCCAGGGATCCGCCCTGGAGAAGTACGCCAAGAAGACTGTCAAGGTACTGAGAGGCAATTTAGACCTGCACTGACACGCACATTGAACGACACGTCCTCTCCTTTTTTTTAACTGTAGATTAAACTATTCTGCTTATGGCTAAATTACTTGTATTGCATTGTTTGGATGATCGCCATTTTTCAAAGCCCTCTTGTTGCTGTGTAAAATATTTGTTCTATCATAAAAAGCCTATTAGTCAGAACTAAACATGGTAAAGCAGCGTTCAGTTATTATGCTCCAAATATCTGGAACAAACTCCCAGAAACCTGCAGGTCCGCTGCAACTCTGACTACTTTTAAATCCAGGCTGAAGACTTTTCTTTTTGTCGCTGCTTTTAATTGAACTATTCATATCTTAGACTGCACTGTAACTTTTATCCATGTACTTTTTCTTTTAATGTTTAATTGAACTATTCATATCTTAGACTGCACTGAAACTTTTATCCATGTATTTTTTCTTTTAATGTTTATTTTATTAGCTTTTCTTTTTAATGACTGATTTTTTGTAAAGCACTTTGAATTGCCTTGTGTTGAAAAGTGCTATATAAATAAACTTGCCTTGCCTTGCCTTGCCTTGCCTTGCCTTGCCTTGCCTTGCCTTGCCTTGCCTTGCCTTGCCTTGCCTTGCCTTGCCTTGCCTTGCCTTGCCTTGCCTTGCCTTGCCTTGCCTTGCCTTGCCTTGCCTTGCCTTGCCTTGCCTTGCCTTGCCTTGCCTTGCCTTGCCTTGCCTTGCCTTGCCTTGCCTTGCCTTGCCTATTACAAGTTTGCGTGTTAAGGGGATGTGTAAGAATAACATTTTGATCCTACGGCAGCTTTTAAATCAAGTTACTCTATCCAAAGGAACAAATATGAATAGTAATACATTTTATTTTACTTTTTAAGGTACACAAAGACCCTTTACATACAGATTAGAATTCATAAAATAACAACAAACACAGATTTACAGATTAAAATGACAGGACTATAAGTGAGCTGTTATTAATCTGTTACAATAATGAGGTTACATTAAGTTAGAAAGGATGAGTCCCTAAGGTTTTCTTTTTGTGTTTTTAGGTGTTGGTTGTAGGAAATCCAGCCAACACCAACTGTCTGATTGCAGCCAAGTCTGCTCCCTCCATCCCCAAAGAGAACTTCTCCTGCCTCACCCGTCTGGACCACAACAGGGCCCGCTCTCAGGTACCATCCTTTAGAGTCACATTTGTACTTCCAAACTTGTCTTCACATATTAGATTCCCAGACTTTAACCTGACTTTGTTCTCCTGTCCTGCAGGTGGCGATGCGCTGTGGCGTCCCTGCAACCAATGTGAAGAATGTGATCATCTGGGGCAACCACTCGTCCACCCAGTACCCCGACGTGCACCACTGCCTGGTCAACATGTCCGGCAGCGAGCTCGCCTGCTTTGAGGCCGTCAAGGATGACGCCTGGCTCAAAGGAGATTTCATCGCTGTGAGTTGAAACTATTGGACTGTGAGATATATTTCTAAGGTTCCTGTGACTGATGCTTAAAATGCAGAATATGAGAAACCAATACTCTGCAGGTCTGCTAAAGTATATGAAAATCACACGTTTAGCCTGGCCTGTCAAACAAATGTCACATGACAAAAACACATACTACATCAAATGTATTTTTATGTAATTTGTAAAGCTGGTAATGGGACTGAAAGTGACATAAGTAATTGTTTCAGAATAAAAGTTATTTCATCTTTCAAATATGTATTTTAAATCTTAAACCTCCAGAGGATTTGCAGACATTATCTCAAAACCTTGAAGATTCAAAACAAAACTAGACGCACAGCTTAAAGGTGGGGTAGGTAATTTTGGAGAAACCAGCTCGAGTGCGCTAGAATTTGAAAATACACAGCCGGAAAAAATCTGCCACTTCCTTACAGAGCCCCTCCTCCAACACACACGAACGCGCACATGACCAATGAGGGCACGAGATAAG